TGTATCGAAGAAGGATGTGTGTATATACCGACCTGGAGATCCTATTACTACTTTTCTCTGTGTCTCTATACGTGGCGATAGTGATGTAGGTGTTCATCTATCATCCTTGCATATCGCCACATGCTGGTGTTTGTAGTTGGTACGCATATAATAGGTGTCATGTGCAGCCACACCTGGGATGAAGACAATCCCGGCTCAGTGCTGCCCTCCTGTGGTTCGCTCAAGCGCTGCAGCCACGAGGAGCGGTGTCGAGGAGGGGAGACGAACCCGCTGCTCGGTGCTGCCCTCCGGTGGTCCCGTCGGGGCATTGGCCAAGCGGGTGAAGGCTGGGATAGGAGCCTCATGTTCCCGTTCCCATATTTGAATATAGAGTATTCAAATGTTTTTTGAACCCACCCCCGCCACCAAGAAAACGTCTCGGTGTTGCCCTCATGTCCTTCCAGCAGGGCATAGCAGCGCAGAGATAAAGGCAGAGAAGTCGGCTGGGGGGGGGGGGGGGGGGCAACAAGTGCAACCCTTCTATGCTTCAGCCCCCACATTTTTCAGTGGTAACCCTCACTCCCATCCCACAGCCCCCCACTCCCGTACCCAGTGATGCCCCTCACTCTTGAGCCACAGCCACCCCCCTTCCCGCCATTTCTCACTGGTGTCCCTCACTCCCAACCTGCAGGCTCCCTTGTTCCCTGCGGTGCCCCTCACGTCTGACCTGCACCCCAGTGGTGCTCCTCACTTCCAACCCTCAAGACCCCATTTTTCAGTGGTGCCCCTCACTCCTGTTAAAGTGTACCAGCCCAAATACTGATCCCTGCGGGACTCCACTGGTCACCCTGTGCCACGTTGATTTGCTCCCGTCAACTAGTACTCTTTGGGTCTGACCCTGTAGCCAGTTACCTAGCCATCAGACCATAAGGCTGCAGTCGGGCACCCTCCCCAGGTGGTGGGACAAAAGCTATAGGCTGGCAGGGACACACAGCTCTGGAGGTGAGGGACAGACCAGCTCCCTGCTGCTCACTGACTTCAGGAGGCCATGGGGCAGGGCGCAGCAGGGATGGGGGGGGGGAGCAGCAGAAGTGCCCGGGAGGGTGCCTGCTTGTGAGACAGGCCCATGCCTCTGGCTCCAGGAGGGCAGGCTGGGGTGGGCCTGCTGATGCCATGAAGCTGTGGGCACAGGCGTGCAGGTGACAGGCAGCCTTCAGCACTTGGATTCATTGCACCTGCGGCCTGTCCCTGCGCAAAGGGCCCATGCAGCTCTGGGATGGGTGTGCCCCTCTCAGGAATGGCCTCGTATGAGTCTCAGGGACAGCAGCTCGTCAAAGACCCCTGGCTGGAGACTGGAGAAGATGTTCCCTGACACATTGCTGGCAGAGAGGAGATAAAAGCCTGGTGAGTGGTGACTTGCCTGATGCTCTCGGGTCTGATGCACGAATGCCCGGGTGAGCCGTGCTCACTGGAGGGGCAGCCTGTGTAACAGGGGCCCTGAGTGAGCACCCCTGGCTCAGAAGCAGCAGGTCCGAACCCACTTGAAAACCAGGTCCCTCCCACGCTACTTTATGTGGGTCCCCTAGAGCGGTGGGAAAGGACTTGTGGCCCACGGCAGCCAGCGCCACTGTCCAGCCCCACACACAGCAGGCACAAGTCCAGGGACCCTACTCTATGCTGGCAGCACAGGAAGGCAGAAGGGCCCTGGGCAGTGCTGAGGCTGGGGCAGACATCCTGACAGGCTGCAGTGCCCCTGGCAGCTCCTTGCCAAGGGTCCTGCCTGCAGGTGGGAGCCTCCCTGCTCCTTACAGTGCCCGAGAGTGATGAGTGTAGGCAGATGCCAGTGCTGAGGCAGCCAGTGTGGTGGTTATTGGAGAGGTCTTTGGGAATGAGTGGGGCCAGTGGGAAGGTCTGCATGAGCGCTGAGACTGCTGCGCCTGGCACCACCCTGGGCACAGGCCTGCACACGCCTGGGGGACCAGGGAGGGAGCAGCAGGGAGGACATGAGGAGACTTCTGTGCTGGAGTGGAGAGCGCTTGAAGAATGCGAACACAAATGCTTCAATAAACGCGATTTCTAACCTTAAAAAAAAAACTGTTCTCAGTTGGAAAATAGTGTGATGCTTTGGTAACAGTGTGGGACTGTGGTGAGTGTTTTGTGAGGACAATTGTGGTGATTTGTTTGTGGTGATTTGGGAACTTTTGGGGGGAAATTTGATATTTCTGTGGGAAACTTGATTATTGCTTTTCCCCCCCCAACTTCTTGTGCCAAGTGTCTGTGGCAATATGGTGATACTTGTGTGGAAAATGGTGTGGTGAGACATGAAGTGTGTGGTGAGATGGTGACTTCTTTTCACATGCAAGATTGTGTGCTGATTCTGTGGTGATTCGGGAATGTTTTAATGGTCGTGTGTGGAATGTGGGGATTCAGTAATGTTGAGTGGAAATATAGGGATGTGTTTCTGTGAAAAGTGGCGATTTTGTGCTCTCCTGTGTGGACTTGGTGTGGAAATGTGTGTGGGGATATGGTGCTTGTTGTGCGAAGCGGTGTGCTGATTTGGGAACTGCGTGGAACAGAGTAGGTGAATGTGCAGCGATGTAGGAACTTTTTGTGAAAGAAGCATGGAAATACGGTGAGAGCTGTGTGGAAAACCGGTCAGATGTTAGCTTGGTAAATCCGGGGACAGGACGGTGGCTTTCTTGTGCGGCAAACGGGTGATCTTGCGGCGGGGCTGAGCAGGGCAGAGAAGCGCAGGGCGAAGGAGAAGGACGAGCTGCCTGGCCGGACTTGTGGCCCCCGGCGCCGGGCAGACGGTGCCCCCCCCCGGGGCGCAGCGGGGCGGGCTCAGGCTTCCGCATCTCCCTCCCGAGCTGCGGCATTTGACACCCGGCGCTCAGGCCTGGGCGCGAAGGGGCGGGGCATGGGCGTGAACCAGCTGAGGAGGGGGCGGGGCCTGGCGGCGCGGATGGCGCTGAGAGGGCGGGGCCAAGTCACGCGGGAGGCGCGGAAGTGCAGCCACGGGCGTTCAAAACTGCTGCGGTGCCTCAACCAGGCTTTCCCCTACATGGCGACGGGGAAAGGACGGGAGAGAGAAGGGACCCGGTTTCCCAAAGGCAGGTAGAGCCAAGACTAGAATCCAGCTGCCCTAACCCCGCTCCCGTTCCCTTCTGTGTAAATCCCGGAGTCAGCTGAAGGGAAAGGGGTCTTGCTCGGAGTCATCCAGTCCAACCCCGGCTCTCTCCACACAAACCATCCTGCACGCGCGCTCGTCTTGCCTGTTCCTCCGGCTCCGCGACAAGCCCTGCCCTGCCCTGCCCTGCCACCACGCTGTAAGGCACGTGGCTCGAGGGCACCACCACCCTGCTGCAGGGAAAGCAGGGGACAAGTACACCACCAAGGTGTTATCCTGTCCACACGCTCTAGGGTCCCGGGAAGAGGATCATCCACCCCGCGGAAAGGCGCACGTGGCGGGCCGGCCGGGGCTCGCCAGCAGCTGGTTGGACAGCTTGAGCTGAATGGCGCAGGCCGATTGGCAGGGGCCTTTCCCCCCCACCCCAATCAGGAGACAGCAGGAGGAAGGCTTGCCCGCCCTGACCTAGGGGCGAGGGGACATCACCCCTCGGACTTTCCTGTTGGTCCACTGTCCATCGGGGGCGGAGCCTCCAGAAGGGACAAGAGGCCGCATGTCGAGCGAACAGGCGGGTTCGGCGATGGACGGCGGAGAAGAGCTGGTGGAGCTGGCCGGTGGGGGGGCGCGGTAACCCCGGAAGCGCCCTGAAGAGGCCGCGCCCGGACGAGGTGAGGTGGAGCTGTCTGCACCCTCTGTGCCGGAACGTGGCGGGGGCTGCACTTGGGCTGCAGTTGGGGACCTATGGCCCCTCTGCAGGGCCGGGGGCGTGTCAGGCTGTGGGGAGTGACGTCCCGAGCCACGTGGGTGCTGCGTGGCTCGTAGTCCCTGTCAAGCACCGGTGCCCAGGGGGTGGGCAGTGGTCGGGCTTGCAAGTTTCCATTCCTTCCCTTAAGGCGCCATTCGGGGGCGGCGGGTGAGGTCCCAGGGCTTTGGCCGCAGCCTTCCCTTAAGGCGTCATGGGTCAGGGGGGAGCGGAGGCTCAGGTCCGTAGCCATTTCCGGTGCCCCTTTAAGGTGTTATTTGTGGGGGCAGCGGGCAGGATCGGTTTGTCTCTGCCCGCAGTCCTCCCTTAAGGTGTCATTCAGGTGGGCAGTAGCAAGGTCTGTAGGCCCCCGCTGTCCTCCCTTAAGGTGCCATTTGGGTCAGCAGCGGGTGCGGTCCGAGCCTCTGTAGTTCTCCCTTAAGGTGCCTTTCAAGGGTGGGGCAGCGGGCAAGGTCCATAGAGATTGGCCCACAGCCCCTCCTTAAGGCATCATTTGGGGCTGCAGCAGGCAAGGGAGGTCTCCACTGTCTGCTCTCAGGGTCATCTTGCCGAGCTGCGGTGTGGTGCTGCCCTGCTCGCAAAAGGGTCAAGCACTGACAGTCTTTCACACCCCCAAGCCCGAGCTATGGTGTGGTGCTGCCAAGCACTGATGGTCACTTGAGGGGGCTTGTGCCTTCTCAAGGCTTTCGGGAAGTACGAGACTAATGCAGTTGATGGGGCCGGCATTTCCTCCGTGCCTGGCATCTTTCACCTCCAAGTTCATCCTTCCCCGCTGCGCTGTTTCTCCTCTCCTTTCACCTCCAAGCTTCCCCACCCTTTGCCCTCTATCATTTCTGCAGTGGTTCTCTTGTGCCCACTGCGTGCTGAGTGCCGCCGAGCTGGCCACCCAGAATGCCGAATCCCTTGCTGGAAAGGGATGAGTGGGAGGTCGCTTGTCTTTGCTGTCTTGGACCGGCTGCCTGAAGCTTCAGCAGCAACTCGTGAGAAACAGCTCGCCTTTGGGGGTCAACCCACGTTGGTTGCAGCCAGGAAAAAGAACCAGAGAAGATGACAGGAAAGCAGGTGTGAGCTGGCCTGCTCTTCAGTGGACTAATAAAATTGATCTGCCAGCCACCTCCTTGGTGCCTGGTGTCTTTCACCTCCAAGTTCATCCTTTTCCCCCCTGCGCTCTTTCTCCTCTCTCCTCTCCTGTCATTCCATGTCCAAGTTTCTCCATGCGCTGCCTGCTTTCATTTCTGCAGTGGTTCCCTTGCAACCACCGCGTGCTGAGTGCCTATGAGCTGGTCACCCAGGTTGCTGAATCCTTTCCTGAAAAGGGAATAGTCGGAGGCGTCCCTTGACTTGTGTCTCCAGGAAACAAGTGTCGCAGCTTGGACTGGCCATCAGAGGCTGCAGCCCTGAACTCTGCGAAACAGGAAATATGGGATTTTTTTTTCTCTGTGATAAGCGAAGCACACGCTCCCCATTCCCTCCTGTGCTGCGTGCACCGGCAGGAGCCGCCACCCGCTCCGCACACCTCCCGGGCGAGCCACTCACGGCTTTGTCCCGTGCCCCGCTCCAGCCATGCAGCACCTGCCCCAGCCCCACTCCCTCCCTGCGGTTGTGCGCGCTCCTGTGGGAGCTTGGTGTGGAAATGTGTGTGCAGACAGGGTGCTGGTTGTGGGAAGCCGCGTGGTGCTTTGGAAGTGTCCGCGGGACGGGGGTGAGGCGATTATGTGAGGGGATGTAGGAACTTTTTGTGAAAGAAGTGTGGAAATACGGTGAGAGCGGTGCGGCAAACCGGTGCTGTGTTAAGGTGGTAAAGCCGGGGGCAGGACGGTGGCTTTCTTGTGCGGCAAACGGGTGATCTTGCGGCGGGGCGAAGGAGAAGGACACGCTGCCTGGCCGGACTCGTGGCCCCCGGGGCCGGGCAGACGGGCGGTGGCGGCTGCGGACAGTGCTGCGCCGCGGGGCGGGCTCAGCCCTCAGCGTCTCCCGCCCGGCTGAGGCAGGTTCACCCCCGGCGCGCAGCAGAGGGGGCGGGGCCAAGCTGGGCGGGAGGCGCCCGAGTGGCTGTAAGAGCTTGGCTCCACCTGAGGCGGGCGGGAAGCGGGGGGGCTGGGGCGCCCGCGGCGCTGGAC